ACTGCTAACTCCGAAGCTCCACCTGAAGCGGCTTCTTCTGGGTTGTCAACTGAAGCCGAAGCTTCTTCACCTGTTCTTAATCAGCTTGAGGAAACTTCTTCTGACCCTGAATCTTGCCCTGAGCCGACTTCCTCTGGATTATCTACTGACACCAAAACAGCTTCACCTGATCTAAATCAACTTGAAGAAACTACTGCTCTCTCTGAAGCTGCACCTGAAGCGGCTCCTTCTGTGTTGTCATCTGAAGCCAAAGCTTCTTCACCTGTTCTTAATCAACTTGATGAAACTTCTTATGACCGCGAATCTCACCCTGAACCAACTTCTTCTGTGTTGTCTACTGAAACCAAGGCAGCTTCACTTGTTCCTCCAAATCAACTCGAAGAAACTTCTTCCACCTCTGAATCTCCAAATGAAGTGGCTGCTGGGTTGACTACTGAAGCTGAAACAGCTGCACCTGTTCTTCCTAATCAACTGGTAGAAACTTCTTTAACCCCTGAATCCCCACCCAAAGTGGCTCCTTCTTTGTCGACTGCAGCCAAAGCAACTTCACCCATTCTTCCTAATCATCTCAAAGAAACTTCATCTTATGCGGAACCTCCTCCTGAAGTGGTTCCTTCTGGGTTGTCTCATGAAGTCGAAGCGACTCCTACCAGGTTGCCTGCTAAACCCAACTCGACTCCTTCTAGGTTGCTTGCTGATCTTGAAAAGTCGTCTTCTGGGTTGCCTGCTGAACTGGTTCCCTCTGCGTCCACGACTGCACCCAACGTGGCTCCCGACCTGCGTACTGAACCCTTGGAATGTCAGTATAAATTGACTACATCAGACTCACATTTTGAGCTTGAAGCAAATATATCATGCTCCCTTACTGACGCAGAAAGAGCTTCTCCAAAGTTCAAAGCAGGTTCTTTTGACACCATGAAGCAACATAATTCCAACTTATCAGCTAGACCTACTCAAGCAATGTTGTGTTTAGAACCCATAGCAGATTTAAGTGCTTCTCAACCTAAAGCAACTTTATCAGGTTCTATGTTTGAAGCACCTCAATGTGACACTTCTAAAGAGGTTGATTTGAATTCATCATCTATGTCTCTAAGTGAGCTTGAATCAGATTTGTTAATCCCTCAAATTGCACCTGAAACAGCTCCAGTATGCTCTTCTACTGAACCAGAACCTCTAGAGCATAATGAAAGCAACGACAATACTCTTTCAGCCTCTTGTCATCTGTCTGAGATGAGCCCGAGTGGGTCCTCTTCGATTGGAGACCCTCCTGAGTCTGAATCGGGTGATTCTTCCGAATCAGATTTTTTGCTGGTCCTTTCTTCTGACTCAGAAGGTAGTCCTGACAGGTCGGAAGAAAATCATAACGATGTGAATATGATTAACATAAATGATATTTCAAAAGATGGCTACTCTAAGGACTCATATCCTTATGATCCATATGAATTGCAACCAGCAACACCTGACATTCGTCCACTGCTAGACAAGCTCGTCAATTCTGCCTCTGATGATGAAGATTATGAGGTGTCGCCAGAAATGATGGACATCATGGCACTCACGGAGATAAATAATGAAAGTCAACCAAGAGTTGTTGCCCCAGAGATTGATACAGCTACTCTTGTTAATATAGTTGCTAGACAGCATTATGATGATGCTGATCTTCCAGACGAGTTGATGGCCGCACTTGAGGAATCGGATGTTGATAACATTGTCATTGATGTGGACCCAAAGACTAAATGTCAACAATGCGGCAAAAATGCCAAATTCACTTGTATTGCCTGTCTCAAAGTCTGCTATTGTTCCACTGAATGTGCAGTAAGTTATTCACAATCTTTATTTATTATTTATCTTATCTTTAAGTAATAACAGTGATAACATTTTTGTAAATACTTATTTTTCAGGAAAAGTTTTGGGACGAAGAACATGCAGAAACATGTGATAGAAGCAAACTCCCTAATAAAGCTTCATAAATACCTGTGAGATTGAATATTTTAAACGTTGATATGTGACTCAATTTTTCTGTGATATGGAGAGGTGTAGTGTATTATTGTTTACTGATCTACCTCAGAGCCTGACGTAATTTGTAAGATTAATAAGAATTTCATAATTTTTTTTAAGTATTCTGTAATGTAAGATTTGTGTTATTGTAAATTGTTAAAGTAAGTTTATTTTTTTTCAGTAGCAAAGCATGTGTTTAAGTAAATTATATACCAATCTGTTCTTACAAGTATGTTTTATCTCTTTACCTGGTTTCATTCTCCTTACCATGCATTTAATATAAAGATTTTCGGTTTTCACTACTTTATTTAAATAACAATGGATTACACCAACTATTCACAATGAAACAGTTTCAAGTTTAACAATTTTTACAACCATCTATGATTTTAATCAGCCGTGTGAATCAGAAAATGTTGATACAGTCTACAATTACAAAGAATAATTAATCTTTCCCGTCAAGAAATTTACCAAGGAAATCAGTTGGCTTCTTGTTAACGGTATCTTTCCAATAGGCCATAACATGACCAACTTGCTTCCATTTTGTTACTGTTTCTTTTAACTCCATCTGACCCTAAAAAGAGAATTTACAAAGCTGATTGATTGCATTCAGAAAACATTTCATTTCTAAAAGAAAAGGCTCCTCTTACCTTGATAATCAACATGTCAATGACACGAATATCTTTTACATCTTTGTGCTTTAAAAATTCTTCCCTTAATTTTTCTTGACACTGCTTCTGGTTTTTGGGAATATCAATTTCAGAAACTGAAATAAAACGGGAAAATCACATTATACTATGCTATAGAAAATTCACTTGCAAGGAAGTAAAGGCAAAAAGTTAACATTGAAAGATAGGTCTGACAGACTAAAAGTGGGACTCTGCACTGATTTAAAATATTTTAAATGATAATTAGTTAAAACTGAGGACATGTATAGACCTGACAATTGCTATACTCAGATTATGAACAGCTGATATTACACCTACTAGCGTAGGTTATGTCAGGACATTTCTATACCTGACGTGATACAGGTTTATTTACCTATGTGGGGGATCTGGCGATACCAAGCTTTGTACAAGGCAAGAACTCTTCTCCGAGAGTCTTCTTGAGTCAAAGACAATATTGGACGAACTTGGCGAGTAACAACAGAAGCAGCCTTAACCGTCGCCATTTTGCCTCCAACTGACGACTGACGACTTCGGGTCGGGAAGTGCCAAAAATGGCTTAAGCTGTGAACACATCTTTGGGCGTTATGTGCAGAACTTCTGTTTTGGTTTTGGGTGTTTGTAGTGACATGTCAACCGTCTGTTGATAATTCCAAGTCAACTAACTATGGTACCTTCGAACATGTTGGAAATTGATCCTGATAAAATATTTGAAGAGAAGTCAATAAGTGAGATTGAGGTGGTTCAAAAGAAAATCCAGGATGAAGTTGAAAGGAAAAAAGAAGAACTACGGACGATGGTTGGGTAGGTTAACCCAAAGGAAACTAAATAACACTTAGGAGGTGCATTTGAAACAAACATAACATTTTACTGTCATTTCGTGTACCTTCACCATCCTCTTATATTTACCCTTACCGAACAGTTTTCACATACTTGTAGTTGTGAGTCATCTCCTCTGTTTTATTTGAATTTCAGGGAGCGATACAGAGATCTAATTGAAGCGGCAGACACAATAAGCGACATGCAGCACACAGCAACTGGAGTCATTGACCGTATCAATTCAATGGAAAAGCTCTGTGGAGCTTTTCAACAGAGACAGCTGTTAGGCTTTCAGTTAGATCTTTCAAGAGCTTCATACGCAACACTGGACAAGTAAGGAACCCAATCGATGATCATGTGGCTTACATATTATTGTAAGGTATTTTGTCTAACAATATTGTCATGTTTCACTTATCCTTGTAAGGAATGATGGAGTTGGGATTGGTCTAGCTGTTCAAGTTAGAATATTAATTGCAATCCCAGAGCAAATATGGGTAGCAGTTGAAAGAGAAGACTACCTTCTGGGATCACAGTTATTTCTTTTTGCTAGGCACATCAAAACAGGCTAGTTGCATTGATTAAAATGTGCAATTTTACAAGTATCTTACTATTTGTGTGCTAAGAAATGGCTTGTTTCAATTGCAGGTTTGCACCTTGAAAGTTCATTTCTTCTAGAACAGATGATGCCTGTTGTTTCTAGACAGTGGTCTGCTATTTCACATTTTCAAGAGAAGCTTGTAAATGGTGCATTGAGAGCACTTTCATCAGCTGATATCTCTGCTGTGGTTAAGTTTCTCTGTTTTAATAAAAGGATATTTATACTTTCATGTGCTTTTAAACGCTCATCTAAATATTTTCTATTAATTTGTGTCTATCCTTTTTTGAGCAGTTAGCAGCAAGATACTTGTGTGTGCTAGCCCTCCTTGATAATATGAATGGAGAGGCACTTCTAGTCCGTTTCCTTCAAGTCCGAGAAAATGCTCTCACCTCTGTACTTTTGGAAGGTGATGATAAAGCCAATGTCAAGCACAGAATTTGTGCTAGCTTACATTTATTAGTTCACACATTGTCCCTTTTGAGTTCGTGCTTTGTAGGTCAGTAAAAATTTACTGCACTGTTTTGCTCGCACAAAAGAATTTGAAGCTTTTTGAAAATTATGCTAGGTAATTAATTTACAGAGGGAAGAGGAGGATTTCAAGAAGGTCTCATATGGCAACACCTTCAAATGCTCACTCAAGAGGATAACTACATCAGTAATAATCAGAATATCAGCTGCTTGAATTCTCTTGAGCTGCTTGACACACTTGGTTTAGAACCAACATCTCTTCGCCTCCTCCCTCCTGTCATCAGAGATTTCAGGTGTGTACAGCTTCTGTATCAGTAGCACTAACACACTATATATTCCTTTTTTGCAAATGTGAAATTCATTGTTGCAGGCCTGCTAATAAATCCTGCAAGGATTGCGTTCCTCTTGAGGATGTTCAGAACCGTACATCAATGTGGTTACAATCACTTCAAACATTTTTGAATAATGCTCTTAACTCCTTACTTGACCTTGTCACATCTATCCGAGCCCTGCAAAGCATTAGAGATGCATCCATTAAAGAACAACAAGGTAATTTCATTTTCCATGGCACAGATATTGAGTAGAAATGAGTATGTTCCACAGGCCTTTGATTAATTAATGTTTATTTTTTTAATTTATTTTTTTTGTTTGACAAGGACTTGCGGGATGTGATCTTGCCATACAAAAACTGCAGCTACAATGTGGCTCAGATATTTGGAATGCATATTACCAACCCTTAGTAAGTTCTCGAGTCCGTGTTCTTATGGAGCTACAGTGGACCAATGCTCTTTCTAACACAAGACAGAAACTAGCTGATCAACTTCGAGCCATCCTAAGAGATAAGTAAGTGCAGCTAAGAGTGCGGTTGAGATCTTCTTGGTTCTGAAATAGTATTAATTTGTAATGATTTTTCAGAAACCACCAACCAGAGCATGATCTACGCTGGTTTGTATGGAGAGAACGCATGGCTGATCTACCTCAACAATCCGTACAGTCCCAATCTCTCTCACCTAGTCATGGTCAGTGCTTTGTGTGTGAAAATATATGGATTAAATTTTGACTTTAAATTTGATTGTTTAAAAAACAAATTTGTACTCTTCTTCTCTCTCTTTATTTCACAGGTCTTCTTTTAAAATGTCAAGGCTACAGTCCAAGAGTGGAAGCAATTTGTCAATGTCTTGACAGTCCACTGTGCACCTTACTTCAAGAGCTAGCCTCATATGTTCAAGAGTCTGACATGGACCGTGATGAAATACAACAGCATTTGCTAAAATGTAGTTCAAAGCAACTTCAGGAGTGAGTCATTTTATAAATCAGCTATGTATCTAATTTTTTATTTTTGTTCCAACAAGGTTAATAATTTTATGTTCCTTTTTTAACCATACTTATCAGATTCTGCAAGCATATAAAAGAAAATTGTTTATCAGGTGCAACAGGACGTGAAGAAGCATGCATTGCCCTTGTTGCTCGGCTTCCAGCAGCTCTTTGTGATCTGAGCCCTGCTCTCAAATCATGCTTCCTTCCATTTTCAGTTGTTGCCTCTTCAAAAGTATGGCATTTCCTTACAAATTTCATAATGTTTTGTGTTCAATCTCATCAATTAGTTAACTCCTTAATTCTTTGTTTTCATCTTATTTTATTTTTTTTATTTTTTTATTTTTTTAACTCTAGAATTTACTGGGATCATCTGCTGCTTGGTCAGATATGGTTGGTGTTCTTCAAGACTGTAGTAAACAAGCATGGATTGTATGGCAGGATTTAGTGTCTTCCCACTTAAAAAGTACATTAGAAGAAAAATTAATACCAGAGTCAGGTAATCTGTCAGCTATCCTTGCCCATTCCACTCCTGTAAGTGATTTTTAAGTTACGATGCACATTCAGCAAAAGTGATGTGAGTTCATCTAAATTAATTTGCCTATTTTCAATTTTTAGCAGTGGGAGGAGCACACTATGGAAGAGCAGGGGGAAGAGGGTGGGCAGTTACATTCAGTAATAAGGGTTCCTGCTCAGCCAAGCCTTGCTCTGCAAGATGTTCTTTCCTCTGCTTGTCAAATTCTTTCAGCAGCTCAACCACACACTATTACAAGGTCAGTTTATGGCAGTTAGTTTTGTAGTATTATCTAGATATTAATGTTAATGTTTCACTCAAATTATTGTTCTTCTCTTCACAGTGATGTCAAAATTACATTTGTTGAAAAACTTGTGTCTCATATTCTGACCCATTATAACAATGCTGTAAAGCTGAACTTACCTCAAGCACAATCCCTCCAGTTTTTGCTTGACGTCATGTTCTTGTCATCCTTGCTGATACCTAGAAGCCAGAAGCCACTTTCCCAATATGCCCAGCAGATTTGTCAGACACTAGAGAAGAAAATTGATCCGTTTGATTTAGATGTGTTCTCACCATATGTCCAGGTTAATGTTCGTCAAAGTGTGCGCAACATGCAAGTAAGAAGTTTATTTTTTGGTATCGTAGAATGGGACTTGTGGCATACTTAATTTTGTGCAGAAATGTAATATGTTCCAAATTGTTTCCCTACAGTGTTTGTTGGGTACCCTGATTGCATGTTGGCCAGAAAAGCTTGCCAGTATGTGGACTACATCAAGTAGCACGGACAAAAGCTCTGATCAGCCTAGCATGCTCGCTGTCTGTCCACCTGTTCCCTTGTTTCCCCTTCTTCCTATAGTTGTACCTGGTACTTCAGCAGGTACAACTGGTGCCTCTCGGCAACCACTATCTCAAGAAAAATCACAGGCAAGAGCATCACTGACTTTACACTCTTTGTACTCATGAACAGAAAAAGTATAATAATAATAATTTATTTTTCTGCATCAGGGTAAACATAATACAGGAACTCGCAGTCCTAAGAAGAAGGCAGAACCTATGGAGAATATAAAGTCTGGTGCAGCTGCTTTCTTCGGTGCTATGAGTACAGACTGGTTTAGCTAGAAGTATTACTATCAATAACTTGTTCACTATTGATCAAGTTCTTTCTTGTGCAGGTTGTTAAAGATGAATGTGAGGATATTTATTTGTTGAATAGATATATTATATGCAATACTCAATTTCCTTTATCTACTCCCATCCTTCTCTTGGTGACATACAACTGTAAAAAGATATTTTAAACAAATAGAAAGCTCAGTACAGGATTAGTTTATTATGTATTGCTTTCAGAACTTCAAATTTCACAGAACTAAGTAATACTCTAAGTTGTTTATCAAAGACACATTCTCTGGATCAAGTTAAAAGATTATTGCAAAAATATCACAGAATATTACGTGCTAATGATGTATTTTGAACATTCTCAATGTGTGTCTCACCAGACAGATTTCATTAGTGCATTATGTAAAAATAAACATGTGAACAGTAGCAAAAGATGGAAAACAAATTGTACTTATAACAAATAAGTATCAGGAGAATACACTTAAAGGTAGAATAGGTTATTGGCTGTTAGCAATCAATAGCATGTTTTAAAATACAATTTCAATACATGAAAATTTTTTAAAAAGGATTTTAGCAAATGAATAAGGCACATGTCTTTCAAATTAGAAAAACTACACAAAAATTTTCATATCCCTGACCCCTGACCCTGACCAAGAATCAGCAGTGAGGTAACCTGCTTAGAGGGATTGCTGTAACTGTGAGAAAAACTTTTGATCCAGGCACTCAAGGGCAGACATTAAAATGGCACTGAAACTCTCCAAACTTTTCTCTGAGCATTTTTGTGACAATATGAAAATACACAGCCAACAGTGAAAAGAAATTCAAAGCTAAAATCTAAGTTCCAGCTGAGGTGTCAAATAACACATGTTTACTGTATAAAATGGAAGAACAAAATATTCTTTTCATCAATAAGACATTTCTACATTTATTCTTGAAAAAGAAACATTTGAAAAAAAAAGAATCTAAAAATACATATTTTATTAATAAAAATATATGAAGTAGCTAAGCATAAAAACAATATTTTACAGTTATAACAAACCAGCTGTGCTGCATTTTTCTTCTACACAAAATAAACTATATAGAAAGTGACAATGACTAGAAGGAAGAAAGAAAGCGTGTAGCCTATAACAACCCGTGTTATTTTTCTCTGTTCCTGTGGTGTCATTTGTTGCTGCCTTTTCCGCCTTCTGGCATTACTGATTTTCCTTGCATTGACATCACCTTCCCATTCTAACTTGTGCCCTACAAGAAGAAGAGGTTCTTCAAGATATGATACCATTTCTGGAGGTACTTGAGGGCCACTAGAAGTAGGAACACTACTTGAAAGGCGGGCAGAAGCACTTGCACTTCGAATTGTATTTGACAAAGGCTCATTACTTGTCTCAGAAGGAAATTCCGTTATGTCATTAATACTGCATGGATCATAAACTGGTCTGCGGTAGCCAGGTCCATTTCTTTTGGACTTTATGTCAAAATCAGTAGCAGATCGCACAATATCTCCTTTGGAAGGTGGAAGATTTACAATAACTGACTTCTTAGGCGCAAAACAAGGAACACCAGAGGAGCTTTGCACTTTCATTTGTTCAAGAGCTTGAACATCCAATGCAAGAAATTCAATATCTTTACCGGACTGTAATTTGCCAGCATCCCCATGAGTAGTAGAGTTATCCTGCTGTACTGGAAGCTCTTTCCCACCATCTTCTTCAAAATTGTCCTGACTTACCTCAGTCACAGACATTTTGACATTTACACTATTCTCATCAAAATTTTCGATAGAAATTTTCTGCAATAGACTAAAGCGTCTCGATGGTTTTGGTACTTTGACTTTCAGGTAGGCTGAGTCAATTACACGGCCCAATCCCTCTTTGAGGCCATGTTTAAGGGCGTCATTTGCAAGCGCCTCACAAAATGATAAAAGCGACTTACCACTAGGACCATCCTGATTAACATTAATTCCTCTAATGACACAATTTTTCTTGTGATCATTGTGGAAAGTTGCAGCAATTTTAACATCAGCAGTGTGATAACTACATATAAACGGCAGTGTGCTCACTAGTTGGGTTTGTTCGGGGGACGCGGGATGCCATAAGAATTGATTGACTGCATCACGCGCCTTGTAGCTGGGTCAGTTATTTGCCAACTTTTCCTCCAGCTTCTCCATGTCATATAACACCTGAGTAAGTTGCAAAAATGAGAGTTAATCTCTAAAATCTCTAAAAGAAAATTTTCACTGGCAAAGAACTATATTTTACCTCAATCAAAGTACTCATGCTCCAAGCCTGAGTTCGGCAACTATCATGACAATAAGCCCCATTGCTATTGGTAAGTTCAGGCAGACCCCTCCAGTGAGATGACTGGATTTCAGAGAAATGTTTCGACATTAAAGAACGGGTACTAGCAATGGTTTTGCAGAGCTGGGAGCCTCCATCAACTATAGATGCAAAATGCAGCCTTGCTCTCAAGAAGAAACCAACAGGCCAAACCCATTCCTATGAGAAACAGAAGTATATACAGTCAGTCTGTAGATAAAACAAAACTTTCACTTCTGTAAAACATTAATGTTATTAGAAATTGTTTCTTACTGGTCCTTGGTGATAATTGAAGCCATGAGCAACAGAAGCATCTTCAGAATCGTTGCTATTGTCATAATCGGGGCGATAAGACCAATCACTTGGATCCAATGTTTTCATGCCAAGTGGTCCTAGTAAATGCTTTTCTGCTACTTTTAGAGCTGTCCATGCGTGATTGGGATCAACCATGTCAGGGGCCTAAAATGTGAAAAATGTAAATTCCCCATGGAATTATCATTTTTAATTCTTCTCAACTTCCATACAACTTACCACTATCAATGCAATTGGGAAGTTACAGCGGAGCTGATAATCAGCCCAAGCTTGAGTTGCTCCGTGGGAATCTTTGTAAATCCCACGCCTATTTATGAGATCTGGTCTGAGCTCTCCAGCAGCAGGAGCTTCAGAAATCCAAAAGAATTTTTCAAAATTTTTAGCAATCTTTTCTGACCACTGTTCATAGGTCCAAGTTGTGGATGTTCCTGTACAAAATAAATATGAAAATATGAAATCGAAATTGGAAATTATTTCAACATTTATCAGGGGAAGCATACCATCACGATTTGTATGTGTAACCGATTCATAGGGATAATGTCCTTGACGATGCATGTTAGACAGCCATTGAACAGTCATTTTGCTTAGACCAACCAGCTCTACAGCACTCCCATCTCGAGGGGTTGCTGGTTTTCCTCTTATGTGCGCTTTCTCACTAGATCCCATTTTGTCCATCCATGTACCACAATTCCATTCATTTCCACCAAAAACAAATCCTGTAAACGGTACTCATTTAAAATAATATATTTACGTCCAATTATAGAAATCTGAAATGCTAGTTAAGAAGTTTTACCAGTTTCAGGATGAACACCAATTTGATTGTTGAAGCCCTTATCTGTCATATGAGCATCAATACGTGTACCAGCATTGCGCTCACGGAAAATGAGACCTTGAAAATGAGTTTGCATTGCCTCTTGAATGACATCATAAAGAGGTTGATCCTATAATTTGCATTTTGGATTTAGTGTCAGAGACTTCTTTACTTACATACCCATAAAAACAATGTGTTCCAAAGTGTTTAACTCACATGCTTTCCTGGCTCTTGAGCCTCACTGTCATCAGTTGGAAAAATTCGAGATACTGTGTCTTTTAAAATACTGACACCATCGGGAGCCATTTCAACATAAGTTTTGAGTGTGTACATCCACCACCATAAAGCATCACGGCAATTAAACCTAAAAGGAGACATCGAACAATGTAAGAAATAGAAGTCATTCTGCTAGTCTTGTATCTATGACCAAAATTGTTTATGGAGACTATGAATTATAAAATGATGACCTACCTAGCATTCTTTCCTCCATCCAACAGATTCGGTAGAAGTCCATGTCTCAAACATGCTGCATATCCCAAAAGGTGATAACGAGTTTCTTGGAACCTTCCAGTAAGAAGGAACAAACCTCTCAGGGCAATGAATGTGTCTCTACCCCAGTTCCTCATATATCCAGTAGAGAAATGAGGTAGGCCTAAAATATAAGTATAGGTCAGTCTAATAGCACTTCCCACAAATAAAGAAAAAAAACATCTTACAAAATTTAACCAAAAAAAACAACATAAAAACAGTACCAGCCGACAGAGTTGTAAACACTTGTTCAGGCTTGTCAGAACGAGTGTTTGGCAGCGGAGGTGAAAGATTTGGAGAAAGTTGAGGAAGTTGAGCACTATAAACAACCCCACCACACTGAAGTGAACCCATGGCAAGACTTCGTAAAAATGTACTGCCCCCTTTTACAAACCTGTAAACAAAGATAATAGTAAATATCCTATTGTGTTAACACTGCCCTTCTATATGCATCAACCAAAAACAGTGAAAGCCTTTTTACAACTCACTCTGACATAGAATTCCATGCATGCTGAATCAGAGCTAGATAGGTATTAGTAATGATGACATCAAAGTAACGTGGAACAAGATATCTTGGTATTTCTTTCACAGGCTGCAAAGAGCGTTCCAGCCATAAACCTAAATCACATGTGCCAGGGTTACGCTTTAGACGCTCGTGCATGAAATCTGAGGAGAGAGAAGAAAAAGTTAATTCATGGAAAAATTGTATGGGAGTCCCACTAATACTAATTTACAGTGAAACATAACAAAGCCAGTACCAATCATCCAATTGCCTTCACGAAGGTTTCCACACACTGGATGGCCCAAGTCATTTTTAGGTCTAATTTCACTCAGTAAGGACATAATACCTGTCACAGATAAAGAATACATATAGAATCCTATTTTCATTTTAATGTGTGTTTTGAATATTTTATAGAATAGTGACATACCCTGAAGTCCAGCATAAACCATTGGAGCAAAACCAGGAATTTCATATGTGCCAGCATGAGGAGGCTCATCTTTTTCCTCCTCAGAACAACGATATAAAGCCCGGTTTAGATCAGCCAAAGACAAGCGCGACACTACAGTATCCAAATCTAAATCTCCAGATGATGAACAAAGTGCTGATGTGATTCTTCTAAGTTTTTCAATAGCAGGACGTACTTTTTCATTGAGTGAAACTCTGTTTTACAAGCAAAGGAATCATGAACTGACATAAATAGTGGTAACATCAATGAAAAAGTGCTTGGTGAAGGATTGGAACTGACCTAATTGCTACGACAGAGCCCGGCTGGAAATTCTTGAAATTTAGAACTGTTAGACCCGGGTCAGAGGAATGACCAAGAACCAAGGCATCCGACTCCGAGAGGGGAAAACTCTCTCTTAAGGAGAGTGTATAATCACTCAATCCGTTAATTTTATTGGGATCTTTCTTAAAAGTTTCCTGTTTTCCAAATCGTGGGCCATTGTTGCTTCTAACAAGAAATGAAAAACATGTTACAAAGAAATATTTAGATATAAAAATAATAACTTAAAAACAACATTGTTTTAAAGTTAAGCATACTTAAATGCCGCATGAGTTAGAGTTGTTTCCAAAATGACTTCATCTACTGTGCCTTCCACAGTTAGAGGTTTCATGCCATTTCGGTAGAAATGTGGTTCAGGCATGTGGAAGGCTGTGTAGGCAACCAAGATAACAGATTGATGGGTTGACGGATTGTGGCGCGTGACAGCAACAACATCAGCGTCCATTTGGTCTACAAATACCTGCATTTATTTTGAAAAACCTTTGTTTAAATTAAGTAGACAACTGAGAACGCAATGAAAAGCTTGGATGAAAAAATATGGATTAGATTGATATGTACAGAGGGAGATTACATACCTGATTATAGCCTTCCAGTCCAAGTTCAAAATGTAGCTTGTTCAGGGCCCTTTTCCCAGCTGTAATACCTGTTTGTAGATTGACAGCTTCAGGATTGGATGTGTCTCCATCCACCCATGATGTATACTCACGGTCTTCCTCAACCACATGAATCTACAAGAAATAAAAACACATTATACATATTATGCATGTAATAAATATTTAACCGTTGCTAATACTGTAGATAAAGATGGACGAATTCATCTCAAAGCAATAAACTTACATGATGAGGGACCAGTTGATCGTACCCTCTATTACTTCCAGTTCCACAACATGCCATAGACACCAAAGCTGCAGATGGAAGAAGATCAAAGACAGAACGTTTGTCTATTGGACTCATGTTGTCATGAGTTTGATCAAGAAACAAGGCATGAGCTACAGAGGGGACGAGGGGTCGAGCTACAGGCTGTAAAAATGCTCCAACTGGCTCCCCTCCATACCGATAAACCAGCCTGCCCAGCTCATGAGAATCCCAAGCAGACATGGCCTCTGTAAAGAAAAAAAAATAAAACAGAACAGAGGCAAATCAAAATCAGAAAAAAAATCCTAAAAAATCCTAAAAAATCATAAAAAAAGGATATATTATTTTAATTACCGCGAATTAATGAAGTAATCCCAAGACGATTGACAAATATGTTATCTTTAGCATCAGAGTTGGTGAAAAGTTCAGCAACAACATAGAGGTCAGGACGAACTTTTCGGGCAGCATCGAGAAGATACTAAAGAATACATAAAAGAATCATGAAATAAAGTTTGTTGATAATACTGTACAAGACCCAAAATTACAATTTACACACCTCTGCCACAGGAATAGGAGTAGAGTGACAGTTATCAAGCCTTATACCGTCAAAAACCCTGGCTGTTTGTTCAACATAAGTTTTCATGTGCTGCCATAAGAATGGACAATCCTCAGGTTTTTCACCAAATCTGTACCAAAATGAATTGTGAGGCTTTGAATTTGACAAATTAATTTGAGAGGTTGTAAAAGTTCAATATAGTACCTTAGTTTTACACTGTCTCCCCAAGCAATAAGTTCTCTGCGAAGATAAACATTTGAATCAGGACCTGCAAAGTTTCTAAGAGGATCATCACCCATGACCCAACCGTTGTGTGCCATCATGAAGCAAGCCTTATCAGAATACATAAGTTGCTCATGCTCCTCAAGGCTTTTTGGTTCTCCACAATCAGTAAAATAGCTGCAAGTACAAAATAAAATAGAGTTTCTTTGCAATACAGAGACTACAATACAAAATTGTGCAAAATAATCTTTTCATACCGTGGAACAAGAGGATTTTGGACTGAAACTTCTCGAATATGAGGACCGTTATCTTGAACACGGAAATATCGCATACCAGCTATGCAATTTTCGATTGCTGAGTTGAGGTGATTGTTTAAGGCCTCTTTTTGAATGTTGTTTAAACCCTCAATGTGCTGTTTGAAGTCTTCACCACACCGTCTAAGTCTTGTTTCTTCATCGTAGCAGTCTCCTCTATACAAGACAAGGAGATCAATCACCATGCACAATAGATAAAATAAAAAAGATATTCCAAGAAAGTAAATACTACTCACCGATAAGTGTTAAAGTACTTTTGGGCTAGCTCCATGTCAACCGAGGATTTTCGGCGTGTCCATTGGTCATCACGCACAATAACAACAAGCTGTTTATCCTCAAAGGAAGCAGGGTTTTGGGATGGAGGTGTGGTTCTTGCGAGAGCTAGGAATTGTGCTACCAAACTATTAGTATCAATAAGGAACAATTCATCAAGTTTGATTCGAGGAAGGAAGCTGCTATGCATAGCACTACGTATGGCCTGATCAAGACAAGAATAAAAAACAGCATTAAATTACACAAATTACAATAAATTTTTAGGGGAACTGCAATACAAGTGTAAAATGTACCAACCTGAAGGTGTGCTTCACAGTCAACTTCTTTCGGAATACCTGAGTATTCCCATTTACCAGCAGCCACTTCTAAAGTAAGTTGATGTAAAGCAGCATCAAGAAGGTAAGCAGGTCTCAAGTGAGGACAGTTAATCAAATTGTAGGTGCATTCTGGGTGGGACTGTAGCCACTTGCTTTCATTTGCAGTATGATTCAAGACAATGTCACATATGCTCAGTACCTTCCAGTCCCGACGCATTTTGTCTGTGACTGCCTCTACATCAATTATGTCAGCTGTCTTGCCATCAAAGTCAAATTTCGGATTCAAGCGAAGCTGATCGCTGAGACTGTATGCAGAATTGGAGCCACCCAATTCCTGAAAGAAAATCAAAAGTACATGTTAAAAACCAAGGGCAAAGTGGGAAGAACGAGGAAATAACACAAGAGAAAGTGAAAAGATATCGGTTGGGAAATTTTCCTACCTGAATTGGAGTGAAGTGGATCATATTGTAACCACTTTCCTTGGAGACTCGAAGCTTGCCCTCCCACGTGGGCAGAGGGCCAAGCAGCTTGGAGAGCACAGTTTGGCACTGGACGCTGTCCAGCGGGAGAGGGGTGTCCAAGTCGGGTCCGCAGGTCAAGACTGGGTCCACGGTGAAGTACCCAGAGCCCGCCCGGTTCTCGGCAGACCTGCAACACGTCGAGGTGAGGGCCCCTGCGGGGTGCCGGGTAGGCAGTCCCGTGGCGCGCGCGTGTCTCGCGGGACCGCCTCCCGCGCACTCGCAGGCGCTCCAGGTACTCACTCGTCGTAAGTGAAGTAGTAGTGGAAGGAGCCCGCGCGACGGATCACCACCTCGGCGAACTTGGCCGTGTCGTCGCTGGAGCCGGAGTCGCTCTGCCAGGGCAGCACGCGGTAGGCGGCGCGGCTGAAGTCCTCCTCGGGCGCCGAGGGGTGGTTGCAGTGGAGCGTGACGCTCCGGCCCAGCAGCGAGGTCCCCAGCCGGAAGTGCAGGCTCCACCCTGCGGGTCAGGCAAGGGGTAGTCAGGACCCGTCGGGTGTCCGGGATAGGCTCCCCAAGGGCCAACGACACTCACCTTTCCGCAGGCGGTACAGCGTTTCCTCCTGGTGCTCGCCGTCGTTGAGGGTGAGGACGCGGACCTCGGGCCGGCCCTGGAGGCCCTGGCCCAGCGCCCCCACCACCGCCCCCGAGACGCTCAGCTTGCGCTCCGACATTCTCCTCACCGGCTGCGGACGCAACAGGGCGGATCAGTCATAATCAACAGCTTCCAGAAAAATAAAATAAAAAAAAAAAAAAAAAAAACAAGAAAAAAAGGGCGTTCCAACGAAGGAGCCTGGAGCGGCCTGGGGCCTCTTCCCCAGAGTTTCACGAATAATCAAAAAAAGCGCAAGCATGGGAAAACAAGCCCGCTACAGCTGAGCACGTTCAATGTGCCAAGACTAAGGATGGGAGCGGGCGATACCGGGGCTAAACAGTCAACACTAGCAGGGAAAGGGTACGACCGACTTACAAAGTCCATGTTGCCGGCAGAGCGTCAGACTGGACACTGGTCTGCGGGTGCCTCAGCGGGTGCCCACCCTGACTCTGGAGGACCCCCCTCCCCCTCTCCTCCCCCCGTACCCGGGGTCACCGCGACCTCCCAGGACGGCGGCGTAACACAACGCCGGGCACGCTTCTCACGTCGCAAGCCCTTGCACGCCGAAATATACACCACGCCCACCGCCGCAAAGGGAAAAGGAAAGGGGGGGGGGGGGCAAAATGTGAGGTGGCAAAATACCTCCATACGTGACTGCGGCGATCGACACTACGCAAGCAAGCGAATTGTGCTGCGCCTTGCCTTCAAGGTCGCCATAGAGAGGGGCGGGGGGTGGGTCTGGGGTCACCCCCCGGGGGGCAGCCCCGCACATGCCGGGCGGGGGGCCAAGACGCCGCGCCACGCCACGCACTACCACGTGCGGGGGACAACAAAACACCCTCGTCCTGGCCGTGGGGGGGGGGGGGGGGGGAAGCACAAACGGGACCGATAATATCGAATACGGCAAACATGAAACACCCCCAAACTGGGACGGTTCCAAAAAATTCCAACCCACTGCTGACGAGTGTCATAACAATGGTGTGTCGACGAGGGTGTCTATACACGGGAAAAAATACAACATACAACAAAATATAACAAAGACAGATCTTTATCAATGCCAATCGGCTTATCAAAACTGGAATACTGGAACGTCAATCGGCAATCTTTATCAAAACTGGATAACGAGAACCGGCAATATTTAACAAAACGGGAATATTTTACCTTCGGGTAGAGACAGACCACAAGGGACTGCCTAAAAACCCACCCGCGCCGGCGCAGTGCGGCCACCCAGCCCAGCTCAAGGGCCTCAGGAGGGCGGCGGCGAGGCCCCTCTAGGCCCCTCGGCCGGCGCAGCCTTGACCTGTGACAAAGCTATTCCATTGATACGGGTGCGGGTGAGCCGCGAGGGGGGACGAGACAAGTAAACACTAGCTGGCCCAGATCGTTTATGTTTGGCCTTATCTTTCTCTATACGCTTCGTAAGACCTCGGCCGGTGTCAAAGAGGGGTCATTTGGGCGCTAAAACTAAAATAACGTCGATCGGTGATGACGCTCACTGATAAATCGAGTGCTCAACCGGGAAACACTCCCCAGTGCGCAACTGTCGCACAGTTGAACAACTTCATGAGTGGTTCGTTGATGCAATAAGTGGTCGTGGTGTTCGTCAACTTGTTTTTGACGGGTCGCCACGGCATAGGCGTGAGGCGGAAAGGGCGGAAACAGCAGCAGCCTCGCGAACAAAGGGCTCGCGGTCGAGTTTCGCGCAGGGGACATGTGTAATGACGCCAGTAAGGAACACCGGCGAGAGGGGTCTCTCTCTCTCTCTCTCTCACACACACAGAGCGCGCGCCGGCGCGGCACCCTGCCACCACGGTGGCAACACGTGCGCCACTCACTGAAACAAGTTCCTACGCAGTCCTCTGGAAACGACGTGGCTCAGAGCCACAAAGATACAGCGCATACAGCCCCCCGGGCTGCTGGCACGCGGAAGTGGCTGCCCTCTCGCTTACCGAGTCGCGGGGGATGGCGGTGGCGGCGGCGGTGGAGGCCGGCGGCGGCAGCGCGCCCGCCGACCCGGCCGAGGCAGAGAAGTGCACCATGGCGTAAAGACTCTTGGACCAAAACACGACCGCGGCCGCCGAGCGGACGAGCGCGTCTCGAATGGCAGCGACGGCGCGCCAGAAGTCCAACACGGCGCCACCCTCCTCGCCGTCCTCGTCCATCGCGGCGCGGGGGGCGGGGCGCGGGGGCGGAGCACGCTTTATCACGCCGGGCTGCTCCTTGGCGACGATTAGGAGCCCAGATTACTCGGCTACAATGACGCTCCGGTTACAACACACACGCCCCCGACGCACCGCGGCCCCTTCCCTCCCCCCCTGGCGCCGCGCGGAAGTGCAAGGCCTGCACCACCAACACCACCACCGCACGGTGCAGCGAGATGGGCTCGCGAGGTCCCCGGTGCGGTCAAGGTGACCAGTGTGTCGTCCACCGCGTGTCCGGCTGTGCCCGGCTTGGCCCGGCTGCGATCGAGAGGCAGAGAGCTGAGCGCAGCAGCGATGCCCCCCCGACTAATAGTCGAGCCGGTCAGCTGGCCGCCGGCCGGCCGATGCCGGCAGCGACAGCCGTGGGAAAGGGCGGTGGAAGGGGGAGGGAAGCTCCACGGCGGGGCGGTGCGTAGCGCAGGGAGACTACCCCGGCACCGTCGCGTGATGGTCGGGGGCAAGGGGGACGGCGGGGAAGTCCAGAGGGCCCGCTTGCCCTGAAACCCCGTAGTGTTTCAATCAGAACACCAGAGCACTGGCCAGGCATCCTCCATTCAGCTAACGGCTGGGTGGGTGATTCCGTAGAGTGGCTAGTCTTCTCTCTCTCTCTCCCACCTAATGCCAGTCACCCATGAGGGGGGGGGGGGGGGGCCCGGGCAAAAGTGATCGAATACAACAAATGAACGAACGAGGTGGATGAGCGAACGGAAGCGTCGAAAGCGCCATAAGAGCCAATGGGTCCCGTTCGTTCACGCGTTCACTGCCCGTTCGTTCACCGGCTGGCTTCCCCCCCCCCCCCCCCTGTGCGGAATCACGGGAATCACCCTACAGACGGGCGCAGCTATGCGCCAAGTTATCGCCGAGTCCCCGCCTCCCAGCAAAAGGCGGCAAAAAGGCTACTACACTGCCCGCGCCGCGGGCCCCGCGGTCAGGAGGGACACTTGTGACGGATGATTGTCACCTACTACTCCCCCCCCCCTCCCCCCTCCGCGCCTGATACCACACGAAGACAATATCACATGGGAGCACATGGTGGGCAGCGCGTGCTTGGTGCGTGCTCGGTGCAAAGGCCTCAGAGGGGGGTAGAGTCCTACATGGGGAGGGGTTTGGGCTGGCAGCCACTTGCAGCCTCGGCAGTGGCAGGGGTTAAGGGGGGGGGGTGAAAGTCGAAACACAAACATTTGGGCTTCGGCGGCGAGGGGGGTCCGAAGGCCTGCTCGGCACCAAACTCAAGAATCGCAGAATCTAGTTTGATTATTTTTGCAGCATGTGTCACCACAGTTGTCACATAGCAGGGAATTAACAAATTGGAGAACACAGAAAACTAGCACGGAAATCTGTGTCCTAGCACAACGGGGTTTCCCTTGAAGCATTATTGTTTTGGGATTTTAGGATTATTACATTGAAACCAAGAGAGTATTTTAACAATTAACTCCCCGTCACACAATTTAACTCATGAACTCAAGAGTCCCTTTCATTTTCTGGAAAAGAACCGTAGACAAACAGGAAATGTAAACAAAGTAGGAATAGTGCCAGGTTAAACTGTCTATTCACGGGGAGAAACTAGATCCTGTCACACTGACTGTTGTGTGCCGTCCAGAGCGGAACTTCTCAAATATCCGGACGCACTGTCAAGAAGAAGCGAAACAGTGAGGGCAGCAGGCGGGAATGGAGGAGGGGGAGAGGTTGTCAAGCAGTGGAGCCCTAACAAGGACCAAACTGCACTGACCTAGCAGTCAAAAAACTGTGGCGACCAGGGATACGCTGACATGTGTTTTCTGATGCTTGACAAAATATCGCGTCAGGAAATAAGTGGAAAAAGGCAGTCGAGCAATTTAGTTAACTGTCAAGAGACATTTCATAACCTACAAAAAAGCATACCTGATGTAGGCGATAGTAGCTTGAACAGTTACAAGATGCGATGGGAAATCAACGATAAAAGACTTCTAATGTGTAGAACATGACACGAACGTGACTACCAGCGAGCGTCAAACACCAATTCTGGTGAAATGGCCCTGTTTTGATGCTTCAAATGAAGGTCACCAGCGGTCACTTGTTTTCATTCAAACTCGCCAGCCCTTAAATCCTAGCAGAAAGCTTCACAGCCTTCGAGAGACATCAACATAAGATGTCATTTAATCCCCCTATTTTCAACTTCCCATTTTTTTCAGACTTGATAATGAAGCAAATAAACATGGATAAGTCTAATTAATTTTTTTTAGTAAAAATGGTATCAAAAGCGCCAAAAATTACAACCAAAAATGCGCAATTCAGCGAGAGTGCTGCCCCCTGCGGATGTTGCCAAAATCAATCACGTAAACAGGCTGTTGGCTGTTCAAGGATCACGATCTAGTAGATGGCAACGTAGTTTAAAGACTGATATGTGCTAAAAGCTTCAAAATGACAATGAAGCATTACAAGCTCATTGTTCACGAAAGATCATTTAGCGGTAAGTGCTTGTAGATCAGACGTACGTGTTGTTTGTTGAAATATTTCTTTTGTGACTTAAACGCCACGAATGGGCACCAGTAACCTGGAAACACATTTCCTAGTTAAATCAAAATTGTCATAATTTCTGTTTGTTATTGTATAGATTTTCCGTTTTCTTGTATCAAATTAACGCCCTCCGAAAGAAAAACTCAGAACGTCTTAATGCCCTTTTAAACCCAACATTTTTTTTTTTTTGTTGAATTATCGAGATTTCTGATACAATGACCGCCAAAGTTCTTCAAAAATGCACAAATTGTTATTGTTCAGTCACCTCAATTTACCATTTATTTTCTAGCGGAGGATTTAATAATTAATCCCAGAGACTGTCCATCGCTTAAGAAAGGCGACATTGTAGAAATCTATCACCCAGAAGATGAATTCAGTAGACTTCTTTTGCAAGTTACCATATTCAAAGAAGATCTCCAAGGAAAAGGTGTGGTAAAAAATAGCAAACATACCCTTTGCTTCCTAACCTCTTTTGATATCAATGTAGACACTGGGTGCCAAACATAACTTACATGTACTTTTTCTATTGCAGAGACTATAAGTGTTGAGTCCAGCATAGCTTCGGCTTTTCAACTCCGCAAATATGTGGATGTGTGTATGCAACTTGTTGAACCAGAGACAGTTAGTCTAGACTCTGTTGAGCTTACCTTCAAAGATCAGTATATGGGTCGTAGTGAGATGTGGCGATTGAAGAATAGTTTGGTAATTGTCAGTTTTTTGGCATCATTGACATTGTTTTTGTAAAGCAGATCATTCATTCCTTTCTACGATTTCTAGATCAATACATGCATCTATCTTAATAAGAAAATAGAATTTTGTGGAGGTTACATAAGATGTCAGGTATATGAAATGTGGTCCTCTGGTGTTAGAGTAGCTTGTGGTGTTATCACTGAAAATACTAAGGTATGGATGGTTCAAACATAATCACCACTTATTTCATTATCATTGTTTGATTAATGTCAATTTTCTCTGATCATTATTTTTCTCCCGTTTAAAGATTGTATTTAGATCCTCAACCAGTATGGTTTACCTATTTCTTCAAATGAGTTCAGAGATGTGGGACTTTGACATTCATGGAGATTTGTATTTTGAGAAAGCTGTAAATGGGTTTCTGGCAGATTTATTCCAGAAATGGAAGGTTAGACTTATTGATATGAATTTAATTGTTTGGCTCAAAGTACATTTTTATCCGTCTTGTATGTAACTACATTCTACTTTTCAGAAACATGGGAGCAATCATGAAGTTACAATTGTCTTATTTTCAAGAACATTTTACAAAGCCAGTAGTCTAGAAGAATTTCCACGCCACATGCGAGATTGTCTTCAACAAGACTATAGAGGGAGATTTTATGAGGACTTTTATAGGTCAGAGAATCATATTTTTTCTAAAGTGGTACACAACTTTGTCTTTTTAATTTCTATTTCAGACTAAAGTAAAACTGGATTATTTCTTATTTTAGAGTTGCTGTTCAAAATGAAAGGTATGATGACTGGAGTAGCACTCTTGTTCAACTAAGACGTTTATTTATGGATTATCAACGCCTTGTGTTAGAATATCACAAGAGGCCTGGTATTGAAATACCCAAGGCTGTAAATTCCACTGCAGCCCAGGGGAATTTCTTAGAAGTACTGAACATGTCTCTGAATGGTATGCTTTGTTTTATCACAAAATTTTACCTCTTATATCTTTGAGTTCAAACCAAATTACAATTTTCCTATTTTTCTCAGTGTTTGAAAAACATTACTTGGATAGAAGTTTTGAACGGACTGGTCAACTCTCTGTAGTCATTACTCCTGGTGTTGGTGTTTTTGAAGTAGATCGTCAACTAACTAACATTACAAAGCAGCGGATCATTGACAATGGTGTTGGTAGCGATCTAGTTTGTGTTGGAGAGCAGCCATTACATGCTGTACCTTTGCTTAAAGTGAGTATAGACCTGAAATTTAAGTCTATTTCTTCCATTTTCTTGCATGTTGCATTGGACTTCTGCCATTCTGTTAATTTTTACAGTTTCATAATAAAGACACTTCCATCAGTGCAGTTGATGATTATAGCATGCCACATTGGATCAACCTTAGGTATGCCTCACTTATCTTTTTATCTTTTATCTATTTTTAAGTTCTTGTGTCATATTTTTTTAAATGGCTTTTTTTACTTTTTACAGTTTCTATTCAACCAATAAGAAGGTGGCATACTCAAACTTTGTCCCAAGAATTAAATTACCTCCTCGTACAAAATCTGTGAGAACACGCTCTCATTCCTCTCAATCCCAATGTGCTCCTGGAGAAGTTGCCGCTCTGCCCACTACCCCAACCACACCAAAAACTAAGCTTGTGGATGAAGAATTTTTTCCTGAGTCTCCATTTGATTATGATGCCTATGATAGGCAAGTGTTTCAGATGCCTACAGTCCACACAACTAGGTACGAGGTGCACTCACATCTATTATCAAATAAAACTTTTGATAAATTCTTTACTTTTTTGATTATTTTGTTCTTCTTTTACATCTGCATAGATTTTCTCGTCAATTGCAAAGGGCTTCAAGCAGACACAAGAAAGGGAGTGTCACCCTTGATGGTGGAGTAAGTGTGAGCATAACAGGGCCTGGAATGCAACATCTTCCAAAGTCTATAAGACGTAAGATATCTGATCCTGATATTCACCATATGAACAATGGAGAGGTAAGATTCTGGTCATTAAAGCTACATTGCTCTATCTGGATATCTCAAAAAATGTGTCTTTTAAAATTTTCTTGCAGAATGTAATTGTTGGTTCCCCATCTAATGGTCACAGCCACTTAATGACTAGCCCTAAGATGATCAGTGGCGGTCCCAATGTTGGACCAGCTAGTCCATTGTCTACTTTGATGGGATCATCTCCTATTCTTGGCTCATCTTTAACTCCAAGATCAGCTGCCATCAGTATACCACAGATTCGATCCAATAATAACTCTCCCCAGCCATCTCTTTCTGTTAATGCTAATGAAGATGGTTTTGCAGAAATGGCTAAAGGTTTAGTTTTCATATCTACTTTTTTCTCTGTATTATCAATCAAATATTATCAGTTTTTACTAATAGATCTTCTTACAGTTAAACATAGAGCATTGGAAGATCTTCTCGAAGGGGAAACCTCACCCCCACTAAGAGTAGTTGCAGGAAGTATGGGATCGCCTACTTCCCCCATATCACCCACATCACCACCTCAGAATACTGCTTTACTGAGACCTGGAAGAGCCCTCATCAACCCCTTCGACCCATCTCACGTCACAATTAAGTTGACTTCAAATCGGAGAAGATGGACTCACATTTTTCCAAAAGGTAAAAGTCTGAACACCTGTTAAGCTCTTTACCAAGTCATCTTTCAATCAGAGTGAGTAACACTGGCTATGTTTGGTTTGAATATTTGTAGGTCCCGAGGGGGTTTTAATACAACAACATCATTATCAAGCTGTTCCCACATTCACCTCTAATGAAGATCAGAGCCAGTCTCAGACAACTGCCCAAATGCAAGGAACTAACGGACAATCTCAAGAAGTTGTGTCTGTTAGGAGTACATCTCCTATTGGGGACCTGGCTCTAAAATTCAATAGCAGAAGTGGCATGACAAGATCTGCATCTCAGATAGCTTTTCAGGATCGTGAGTATCAACCTGGGAAGCTGATGCCTTATACTATTATTATTACATGTGTTCATGTGATTACTTTGGATTCAGATGTTCGAGGAAGAAGCTTAGGCCGACCACAGCTGTCTGAACGCGGACAAATCCCTACTCAAATAGTGCAGTCAGCAAATAAAGCTTTGCTTTGGGGTGCAACTGGTGAACAGGAGTGGACTCCTGCTTTGACTACAGGTACAAAAATATTGAATGTTCAAAAACAATTTAACATTTGGTTGTTGCTTGCTTGATTCATCTAAGTTAATCAAATTGTTGTCAATTAAAGCTACTGCTGTTTCCAGAAATAATTGATAAAATTTTAAGAAATGATAGGTTTTATCCACAGTATTGTGGTGGACAGAGCCAAAATACTCTTTTATTTAGTATCTATGCTAACGTTTATTACAAACAAATGTGATGTTCTTTTGTTTTTTTCTGTTTGATGAGTGAACTGCCTTCTGTGATTTTAATGCCATAACTCTCTCTTTTTTCCCTCCATTTTTCTTTCCATGTCTTTGGGGTCCTGTGTGCCTGTCAACTGAATCAAATCAGTCGGAAAAATAATTATAGGTTTGAACATTATTGATTCTAAAAATTAGTATAATTGTTTCGTAGACTTTTCTTTCTGTGGATTCCATCTGGTGTGAGTAGGGGTAGTGGTTAAGCACAGTTGTATTTCAACAGCAACCTTTTTCTTTTCCATGTGTTTTTTTCTTTTTTCTTTGTGTCTATTTCCTTACTTAGGTCGGTGTTGTGATTTTAATGGGATCCATCTAAAATTTTAGATTAGATGAAATTATCTGCATGCTCTTAGAGGGTAGTGAGAATACTGTATCTTGCTTCTTTGCTAATAAACTAATTAACAGGAAGTACACAACACAAATGTGGGTTGGTAACATCTTCTTTTATGTATTTTTCTGCCACTGTTTTGATTTGTTTCTGTTTTGTTTTGTTTTGTTTTAACCACATGCATGTTCTCATTTAGTCATTTTGTAGCCTGGAAGAATGTCTGTCATCAGTATTACTTTATATATGATGTAATACCATAAGTGCAATAGCAATATTTGGGCATCGTGTAGTAAGAAATTTTCTGTTACAATACCCTTTGTTCTCATATCTTGTCTTAACTATGTATAAAAATTTGTAGCTCTCTTCTCTGTGAATGCGTCTTTGCTATCTTTGTGATGGTCATTATTCTCTGTCTTTTACAGACCTGCTGAAATCAGACTAGAAAATTATTACAGTGCTCTTATACCAAGAGGTAGTAGGGATGTATTCAAACTTACAGCTCTTTTGGGTTCCAGAAATATTACCAAAGTTTAAGCTAATTTTGTGTATGCGCTTGTCTTTGTTTACTTCATCTCTCTAGCTGTGTGCATCCCTTCACAGTCTGCAATGGTTGTTTTATCTATCTTAATAGAGTTTAGCAATATTTCTCATTTTGTAGTTTATTATAATTTAAATTATAACCGTAGGAGTTATTGCATGGTCACCATAACACATGGCTAGCTAGTTGGACAAAGCTTAACTCATGTGTACTCCCAGATCTAGCTAATGTGAACACTTTTGTCTCAAACTTACTAATGAAAATATTTATGTTTTCCCCACAGGGGTTGATTGGAAATCTCTAACAATATCTGCTTGTCTTCCAATCACAACTGATTATTTCCCAGACAAGAGAAGTTTGCAAAATGACTATGTTGTTTCGGACTACTATCTCTTACCTGATGACGTAAATGCTGATTTTGCTCAGCGCAGAGCAATTTATAAAAAACCATTGACTACGTCGGAGGTTTTCAAGGAACTAGTTTCACAGCGTTTGGCTCAGGTATGTTTTTGATTTTAGACAGTGTCTGAAAAGAGTTTTTCAGTCCCTGCTGTTTGATTCATTCCCAGTGTTTTCCCCTCCAGGGATTCCAGTTAATAGTGCCTAACAAAGACGGTGCACCATTTGGCTCTCTTGGCGCAGGAGTTAAGATAGAGACTCCTGCAACTCCCAGCTCAGTTGTTGGACCCCGCACCACTGATATGGAGCCAAGTGAGGAATACTTATTGAGTATAGGAAGAATATTTCACCGCATTTCTCTGAAAGGTTCTTGTATTACCGTTACGCGATATAGGCCAAGGTAACTGCCAAAACATGGATTCCCTACTACGCAAATTTACTGAACATGTTTTTCTTCTATCAATTTCCTTTCTCCCTATTTGTTGTATAGGCACCCTTACCCACCATTCAACTTTTATTATCAGTATCGTTTCCAAGCACCTGACCATGAATCTTATGAAGTTTCTTGGGTGTCATTCACAACTGAAAAGCTTGAAAACTTCAACTGGAATTATGTTGACCATTATATCTGTACAAGAGGAGATACAGATTTTGCTTTAGCAGAAGTAAGTGGCCGGTGGTTCCATCTTGACTCAAGTGGAGTTATTTGAACATTTAAAAAGTAGGTTGAAGCGTTGACTTTTAAATTCTGATTCAAGGCACTGAAGTACTGGCGTTTCCGAGTCTATTTACTTCCTGTCAATCAATCTGCAACAAGAAAAATTCTTGATGGTTCTGAACATTGTGATATATATGTGCCTCCTTCTACTGAGGACCAGTGTCAAATGGTGAAAAACTTCTTACGATTCATCGAAACATTTGTGAATAGGATTCGAAGACCAAATGCTCATAAAAAGCCTAGGGTAAGTCTTTTAAATTCCTAATTTTAATGTTTCTCTTTCTTCTTTCATTTGTGAGCGAGTTCCAAAAACAACAACAACTAAGCTTTGGAATTTGTGTAACTTATATCAAATTGTTTTATGTACCAAAGTTTTGTGTCAAGCATGATGTAGATGTTCATCAACGTAATCCTTCAGTGGTTTTGTGTACAGTACTTCAAAAGTTATCTGCATGCCAGAATATTTTGATTTAAATTAATTAGTACCTTTTTAATTAGCTGTCACCATTTTGCATTGTTGCATTAAGTGCCTGAGTTTTGAGAGCATGTCAGTGTAGTATTTGTGTATTTGAATGATAGTTATAGTGGGATAAGGATCAACTAATGGGGTCAAAAGAGAAAAATTGACTAATCCTTTCTTTTCAAATGGATTAATTGTTTCAAAGCAGGTGGTAAGTTTATACTGTACATTGGAAAAAATTGGTTATTCTCCTCAGGGCAAAATTTTCCCGTGTATTTCTTTATTCACTTAAGCTTTGTGTGAGCCACTTTTTTGTTTTCCAAATCCTGGCCTACATAAATACACGTATATTTCTATCCATTGCATGTACATATATGCTGCATGCTGTCTTTGCTTGTACATATCTTTGAGCCAAATGCGTGTTACAGGATCCCCACAGTTTTCAACCAGCCCCACTGCCCTTGCAGCTCAGCCATCTGACCCGACGCAGACACAGCACCAGCCTGACTTTCCTTTCGCACTCTAGTAGTTCGGCTAACCATGCAACTAACATATCTCAGGTATTACATTGTGTCAGCAGACATTAGGAGACATTTTCTAGAGTTAACCTGGGGATTTCTTTGATCTCAACAATGACATTAAGTCCTTTGAAAAGTGTTGCGATTTTCCTTCAAAACTTCAGTGTTATTCATCACTTTGATTATTAAATTACTTTAAGTCTCAAGGTAAGTGTTACCACTCTTCATATAGAAAACGACTACCTAGCTTGCCCGTATGGTAGATTTTTCCAGAAAGTAATAAACATATTTACAAGTCAAAATATTTTGCTGGTTCTCAAGTTTGCTGTCTTTATTCTTCCTTTCCTGTTCTTTCCCTTGCCTTTGCCCTGTAAACGCCTTGAAGCCACTAAATAAACAAGATATTCCAGCTTTCACCTCTCATTCAAAAGTTGTATGTGGCTTCTTGCTGTTTCATTTATATTTCTTTACCTCATACCTCTTATCCTAATTTGATTCATTTATGAAATCAATTTTGTTGCGTTATCCTACCAATTAGCAGTAATTTCTTTCTGTGTCTCTGTCTTCAATTCGTAAAGAACATTCAGTATTTTCACGATAGTTGTTTGCCAGAATAACTAATGTTCCCGGTACAGTAATTTCAAGTATGCATGTTTTGGTTTGATTGCATGAGTGTGGATAACATTTGTGCCCTGTATTTATTGTTTATGAGAATTTTTTCTCGACTAGGATAATTTTCCTAAAACAATTGAGAGTACAGTACTCACTCAGTCAAGTCAGCAATGTTTTTGTGCAAACATGTTAAATTCGTGCTGAAGAAATAGCCTATACATTTTCTTATATAAGAAGAAGATTTTTCAACACTTGGACCTTTTATTTATAGAGATTTTATGTTTTTAGCACGCGAGTATTGTTGGTAACTCTCCATTCCGAGAGCGTCTTGGTAGCAATCGACTACCAGATAAACCCAGACCGAGGTTTGTTGGTGCTAGTTATCATTTAATTCACCTGCGGTGGCGTTCTGTTTGTGCATCTGTGTGGAGGCATTATTAATACTGTAGTATCTTTCCTGCTGGTTGGAGAATGGCTTCCATTCCTGTAGCTTCCACATATTTCCACTTTGCATGCCAAAACACACTCAATTTATATGAAACATCACAAAAGAGCAGGGGTATTGGACCCAAAAAATGAAACAAATAACAGAAAAGTTCTTTACTTCTTCCCAGCTATAAGGCTGTTTTATCATTTGAAAAATGAGCTCGACCATTTTATGCATTGGCTTGGGAATTATGAATAAATGTGTGTGATGATTGCATTTAATTTATGTCATAGTACCACCTGTCACGGCTGGTAGTGGTTTCTTTACTTATGCTGTATCGTAATTTCTTGGTGAATTTTTACTTGCAATGTTTCGTTGATTGGTAGTCAGTAGATCACTTAAACTAATGCATGCTTTTGGAGGGATATTCTTTGGATAACTTACGCATAATACTATATGATTGGTATAAAATTTACAATAATTGTGCATATTTACAGGTCTTGGGATATTGAAGCCTGAGATATTCTTTTAACCTATGATTTTATCTGAACATTGTGAACCTATAATTGCTTCATTGCTTCTTTTAGAACTTTTGTTTTCTTTTGACGTACTTGTGAGTGAGATAGCATTATAAATTCTTTGATGGTATCCTTATATTTTTTTCTATGCAGCACTATGTAAATAATAATCTGTGATCTGACACTGATTAATTTGATTTTCAATTTTGCATTTTTTTGCCCTTGAATTTCTGCTTTGCTTGTTTCTTCAAACCATTACTCACTTTCCGTAGGATAAACATCTTCCATCGGGGCGCTTGGTGGAAAGGTTCTACGCAAGGTCAGTGGTGTCATTCTCAGAATGGGGTTTCAGAAGTTTTTACTGTAAATTTGATAAATTTCTTATAACATGTAACTTTTTTGAGGGGAAATTCAGATCAATGTAATTGAAACTAAAATATAATTTGAACTACGATTTTCTTCAGTAATTCAAACAGTTCTTTAAAAATACTAAAGGCAACCTTATCATCTTAAAAACATCTTTATGATCCATTCCAGTTTATTTTTAAAAAGAAGTAATCTTAATTTTGTACATTTGAAAGTGAGTGCTTAGCTAGATTGTCATGGAAATGTATCAGTATTTTAAGCCTTGTTTAGTGAATGAGTAGGCAAATTAGGCAAATTGTGGCATTGCTCCCCCTCGCTTCATTTTTCAACTTCTCTTCATACACTTTAAACCAATAAAAATCTGCTTACTTTTTTCTGCTCTTAAATTTGAGTGCAAAAATTAAATTACCAATTTTTAATCTATTAAATTGTTTATAGATCGGGCTCAAAAGTGCTGGAGAGAGGGCGGGCATCACCTGCAGGGGAAGGACCAGTTGACTTTACATCCAACAACGATCATCAAGATTGGCTTGAGGATGGGTGAGATATTTCTATCTTTAATACCAGACAGCCCCCAGTGGAATGTCAGTTATTTTATTCTGTTTTGTAGTCTTGCACAGCCAGAGTTACGTCTAGGACGCAATGCATCAACAAGTGATATAGTGGATGCCATGCGCCAACCAATGACTGGAGTTGGTTTCTTGGCTCATCATACATCCTCCCTGACTTTTGCGAGTGCTGATGCTGTTCAGTGGCTGATCAAGCATGTTGAGGACGTAACTTGTCAACAGTCAGCAGAAAAAATTCTTGAGGTACATTTATTTTAAGTCCACAGAAAAGTTAATCTTAATCTTATTAGGGTAAGGATTTTTACCAATCTTCTTTGTTGTAGAAAATGTTAAGTGAAAAGCTCATTTGCCATGCATCAGGGGACCACACTCAGCCTCTAAAGATTGGCTTTTATCTGTACCACATAGTTTCAGATCATGACCATCAAAAAGGTTTGTGTCGTGCTATTGTGTATGTTACCTAATTCTATTGAACAGCAAAACTGTTACTGATCTCAATTTTATCTTTTTTTTTCCCTTTAGATGGTGATTCCAGCTCTGCTTTGTTTGGTGATATTCAGAGCTTTGAAAATGAATGGTTAGAGGTAGAAGTTCGCCATCCAACAAATTGGATGCCTCCAGCCTCAGGTGGTGTTGACAATGTTCCCAACTCACCAACATTGCAGCAAACACCCATTACTATTCCCTTACCACCACTGCCTAAGTTTTTACAAGACAAAATGGAGGAAATGTGTCAGGGAGATGGAGGTAATAACAAAGCAAGAAAGCTAAAACCCCAAAGGCCATTTTGATCATTTTATATCTATTCTTATCTTTTAAATATTTGATTTTTCCCACTGTGTTTCTAGTTGCTCAGTATAAAAACATTCATTTGGAAATTGATGTGAATAATAAAAGTGACCGAATAGAATGGGGTCATTGTCGCTACCAATCATTATTTCGTCCAGATAGAGCATATGAACTAGTGGTACAATGGTTGTCGGCCTCTGGACCAATAGTGGCGGAGCTGGTAAATACAACTCTAAGAGTATTTTATCTTGATTTTTAATGTATCGCTTGTATATGATATTTCTAATGCATTCTCCTACAGATTGTTTCTGGCTGGGCTAGGAAAGCAATTCAATGCAGCCTTCAGATGGTTCCCATCCCTGCAGATCCATTAGCATTACCATTCACCCACAAGTCAGATCCACTACGAGGACCTGTCTTTGTTCCGCTAGACACTGAATGTTTAATGGGTAGTAAAAGCTATTTATTTCAAGGTAAAGTTCTATAGATCTAATTATTCTTCTGTTAAATTTTTATTCATTCCCACCAGTAGTTTTTTCTATCCACTAAAATTTTACTCCTGCAGAATTCCCAGAGGATTCTTGGGCTCAGCGGCTTTTACTTTTCCAAGAGACCATTGCACTGAGATTCGGTTTCATTGCATGTGCCATGGAAAACCGTGGAACAAGTCCACAAGCAAATAGATTTAATCGTGAGAAGGGTAAGTTTTGAGCTATATCTTATAGACCTTTCTCTGAGGGTACAAGAAATTTTAATTTGACAAAAATTGACCTTTTCTTCTCCCCTAGAAAAAGAGCAAACAAGACATCATCATCAATACGTTCATATTACTGGCAACATGTTCCTGCTAATACCATCTCCACCTTGTCATCGGTCACATGCTCAGGACATGGATTGTCAAGGAAAATCCAAACGGACTGTGGGACGTCAACCTAGCGTGCAGTATCCAACACACCACGATGTTATGGTATCAAGTCCTCATGAAGAATATATAACAAGACATGTCAGTGGAAACAGTAATCAAGATGAATATGGTCCAGATCGCAAGGTAAACAAGTTATACATACCTACTGTATTAAAGTGTCTTGGTTTTACTGAATGAAAACAACTTCCTCTCATTGTATTTCCTCCCAGATTGGCTTTCTGTGGTCATGGAATCATATGCTGACACGAAGATGGAGAGGCCCTAACAGCGCAACAGGAGATGAACAGTTCCAAAATAAAATGCTTAAGGACTTTAGGGAATTTTGCAGTAATCAAAATAACAGGCTATTGAACTTTTGGGATCAGTGCTGGATTATCCGAGACCAATATGAAGAACGCACGTCAAGTGCCTCTGCATCATTCGGAGATGCACACGTGCCGAATGGGGAAGGGGTTCGTAATGGTAATTTTAATAACACTAGCGTATTTTGTGGTGTACATTCCACTCTAGAAGAAGTTCCTGAGAAGGTATAAACCTTAGGTTAATGGCAAAAAATTTTTTTTACCATTCTCTATTGCATGACAGTTATGTCTTACAACATGTCAGGCACACAACAGATATATGACCACAGAAGCTCATCATATGTTTATAAATATACTGTATAACCAAAAGACTGTAAAAATACTATACCTTGTTTCGATTTACCGACATTATACAATTGTTAGTTGTTAGAAATTTGTTATATCTGATTGCTTCTGGATCTGACGCAGCAGTTTAAATTACCTATTTTATGTTTTTCTGACCAACAAATTAGTTTTAATTGTTAAATATTGGGTCTGTGATTAGATAAATTATG